AATATAATACAGGTTTTTCTCAAGATCTAACAGAACACTTACCAAATGGACCATAATTGAGGCCATAAAAGAAGACTCAATAAATTTAAATGGATTTAAGGAATTCAAAGTATACTTTCTGACCACAAAAGAACAAATCATAAATTAATAGCAGAAAGATATCTTGAAATTTTTCAAGCCTTTGAAAATTAAATATTTTTCATAACCAACAAGTCAATGAAGAAATCATAAGGGAAAAAAGCAAGCACTTTGAATGGAACAAAAATGAAAACATATATATCAAAATTTGTGAAATTCCACCAAAGGAGTGCTTTGGGGAAAGTTTATGGCAATAAATACCTATAATAGAAAAAGAAGGGAGGTCTCAAATGAATGACCTCTACTTCCACCTTAAAATCTTAGAAAAAAGAAGTACAAGTTCAGCCCAAAGTAAGCAAAATTAAGAAAACAAAATAAAGACCAGAGAAAAGAACAGAAAACAATACAGAAAAATAAAATCAAAAACTGGTTGAGAAAAATCAATAAAACTGATTAAAAACCCTAACCAAATTGATCAGGAAAAACACTAACCAAACTGATGAGAGGGAATTCACAGAACATAAATATCAGAATGAGCGAGGTGACATCACTACAGATTCTATAGATAATAAATTGTAAGACCATTATTGTTACAGTTTGGATCTTGAGTGTCCCTCAAAGGCCCACATGTTGAAAGCTTGGTCCTCAAGCATGGTGCTATTGGGAGGTGGTGGATCCTTTAGTAAATGGGGCTTAGTGAAGTAAGGTCATGGGGTATGCCCTGGAATGGAGATATCAGGACTCCATTCCTGACTTTCTCTTTGCTTTCTGGCCATCATGGCCTCCTCTTCCACCATGATCTACTATGCTGCTGCAAGGCCAAAGCAACAGAGACAAGAGATCATGGGCTAAAATCTCTGAAACCATGAGCCAAATAAACCTTTCCTCCTTTTAAGTTTATTTATCTCAGGTTACTTGTTGCAATAACCAAAAACTGACTAGTGCAATTATGAACCACTTTACACCAGTAAATCTGACAAGTTACTGTGCCGAAGTGGAGAAATTCCTTGAAAGACATAAACTATGAAAGCTCACTTAAGAAGAAATAGATAACACAAATATCCCCATAGCTAATCAAAGAAATTGATTTTACAGTTAGTATCTTTCCCACAAAGAAAACTCTAGGCCTAGATGACTTCACTAGTAAATTCTTCAAAACATTAAAGGAAGAAATCATGCTGGTTGTACACAAGAAAAATCATGAAATAGGAATAATTCCAAATTCATCTTATGAGGTTAGCATTACCATAATAACAAAACCAAACAATTACAAGACAATAAAATTAAAGTCCAATATATTTTATGAATGCAAAAAAAATTCAAACAAAATTTTGTAAATTGAATCAAACATGACATTAAAAGGATAATACATAAAGGTCACATGTGAACTTTCCCCAGTATTACAAGGTTGGTGCAACATCCAAACACCAATCAATGTTATTAAAACTAAAAGGAAAAAATATGTCATCATCTCAACAGGTACATAAAAAGTGTTTTTTAATTGAACATTCATTCTTGATTTGAAAAAAAAAAACTATCAACAAATTAAATAGTACTCAATCTAGTAAACAGTACCTACCAGAAACCTACAGTTTACCTCATACTGTTTTAAAACTAAATGCTTTCCCTTTTAAAGAAATTAGACAAAGATATTTGTTCTCATAATTTCTAATAAGCATTATACAGAAAGTTCTAGCTAGCATAATTTAAGAAAAATAAATGCATCTAGGGTAGAAAGAAAGGAGTAAAGCTGTCTTTATTTACAGATGATATGATCATCTGTCAAAAAGTCTAATGGAATTCATCAAAGTAAGTTACTAAAGCAAATAAGTCATTCTAGCAAGGTTGAAGAATAAGAGATAAATATACAAAACTAACTATGTTTCCATTTACTAGCAACAACCAAAAATTGAATTTTTATGTTAAATTTAAATGTGGGGTGAGTGGAGTACCAAGGAATGAACCCAGGGGTGTTTAACCACTAAGCCACATCTCTAGCCCTTTTATTTTCAGACAGGGTCTTGCCAAGTTGCTTAGGGCCTCACTAAATTGCTGAGGCTGGCTTTGAACTTGTAATCCTCCTGCCTCAAACTCCCAAACCACTGGGATTATAAGAGTCTGCTTGTTGGCCCAGCTTGAATTTTTAAAAAATTTAATACCATTCCAATAGTATCAAAAACATGAGACACTGCCCAAATATCCACAATATTTCAAAAGATATAAAATATATTTAGAATGAAAATTATAAAACATTGCTAATAAAAATTAAACAAGATCAAAATAAAAGAACACGTTTTTATTGGTAAGAAGTTTCTGTACTTTCATTGACAATTCTCTAAAGATTCAGTGAAATTCCAATCAAAATCTCATACTTTTTGTAGAACCTAGAATGGAAAAAACAACTCTGAAGATTAAAAAAAAAAAAAAAAGCAGAGTTGGAGGACTAATATTACTTGCCTTCAAAAGTTATTATAAAGCTACAGTAATCAAGATAGTGGGATAGTGGAATATTGGCCTCTCAATAGACACACAGAATCAACAGAACAGAGTAGAGTCCAAAAAGAGACCCAAAGCTATATGGCAAAAATACAAAAGCAATTCAATAAAAAAAAGGACGCCCTTTTTATTATTAAAATTTTTATTAGTTATACATGACAGTAGAATGCACTTTGACACATTGTACACAAATGGAACACAACAGCTCATTCCTCTGGCTGTACAAGGTGCTGGGTCACACCAGTGGTGATGTACATAGAGTAATAATATCCATCTCATTCCACTGTCCTTCCCACCCTCATGCCCCCTCCCTTCCCCTTACTCCCCACTGCCCAATCCAAAGTTCCTCCATTCTTTCCTATCTCGCCATCCCCATTATGGCTCAGTATCCGCTTATCAGAAAAAATATCTGGCCTTTGTTTTGGGGGGATTGGTTTATTTCACTTAGCATGATATTCTCCAATTCTATCCATTTACCTGAAAATGCCATAATATTCCATTGTGTGTATATATACCATATTTTCTTTATCCATTCATCTCTTAAAGGGCTGGTTCCATAGTTAGGTATGTGAATTGAGCTGCTATAAACATTGATGTGGCTGTCTCACTGCAATATGCTGATTTTAAGTCCTTTGGGTATAAACCGAGGAGTGGGATAGCTGGATCAGATGGTGGTTCCATTCCAAGCTTTCTGAGGAATCTCCATACTGCTTTCCATAGCAGTTGCACAAATGTGCAATCCTAACACCAATGTATGAGTGTTCCTTTTTCCCCACTTCCTCGCCAACATTTATTGTTGCTTACATTCTTGATAATTGCCATTCTGAGTGAAATAGTTTTGATTTGCATTTCTCTAATTGCTAGAGATGAATATTTTTTTACGTGTTTGTTGATTGATTGTGTTTCTTCTTCTTCTGTGAAGGTCTATTCAGTTCCTTAGCCCATTTTCTTTTTAACAACTGATACCAGAACAATTGTATATTCTTACGGGAAAAAATAAACTTCGATCCATACCTCACAACATATACAAAAATTAATCCTAGATATATCAAAGATGAAAGGGTAAAATATAAAATTATAAAATATTTAGGGAAAAAAAGAGAAATTTTTGTCACTTTGAAGTAAGCCAAGATTTCTTAAATACAATACCAAATGCACAATAAAATTGATAAATTGGATTTCATCAAAATTTTAAGACCTATTCTGAAAAGATAAGCTACAGAGGGCTGGGGTTATGGCTCTGTGTTAGAGTGATTGCCTAGCATGTGTGAGGCACTGGGTTCAATTTTCAGCACCACATATAAATAAAAATTAAGGTCCATTGACAATTTTTTAAAGTATTTTTTAAAAAAAGAAAAGCCACAGAGAAAATACTGCAAAGCATCATCTGATGAGGAATTTATATGTAGAAATTATGAAAAATTCAAAAAACATACAAACTGATAGGAAAAAACAGAAACAAAGATTTGAATACTTTGACAAAGAAGATATACGTGGGTATACATGAAAAGATGTTCAACATCATTAGTCATGAGGGAAATGCAAAATAAAACCAGTATGAGAAACTTAACATCTACCAGAATAAAAAAATAAATTAAAAAAAAAACACCAAGTGTTGATGAGGATGTGGAGGAACTGGAACTCACCGACACTGTTGGGGGGAACATGAAATGTCACCTCTTTGGAATTCAGTAATTTAAACAGACTACCTGCCATTCATCTAGCAATTTCATTCCTAGCATCACCTCATAGAAAAGAACATACATGTGTGTACAAATCCTCACACACAAATGTTCACGACTGCTTTATTTATAGAAGCCAAAAATTAGAAACAACCCAAATGCTTATCAACAGTTGAATGGATAGACAAATCATCATACATCCACATCATGAACTAGTGCTCAATAATTTAAAAAAAGGGGGGGGGGGAATATTGACAACAAAACCACAAGGATATAGCTCAAAATGAATATGTAAAATTCTATAAAGAAGATAGACATAAATAGAGCACATACAACATGATTTCACTCCATAAATCTCTAGAAAATGCATACTAATCCACAAAGACAAAGAGACTGGTTGTTACCTGGGGACAGGGATATCATGGTGGGAAAAGGGAGGGATTACAAAAAGGCATAAAAAACACTTTTGTGCTTTATGGATCTTGCTCATTATCTCAGTTGTGGCAATGGCTTTCACATCACAGCTGTATACATACGTCAAAAGCTATCAAATTGTACATTTTAAATATGTGGAATTAAATATGGGTCAACTATACCTCGTAAGATTTTTTTTAAAAAAGCATAACCGACATCTCAATCATTGTGGATCTTTAATAGACACAACCTAAATAAAATACAGTGCAATATATAATGCAGTTTCCATAAGGTCAAAATACTCACTCTAAGAATGCTTGCTAGACTTACCTCAACTGCTTGCTTTATTAACTTGCCCTCCCTCTCAGGCTTGGGTGTTGAATCCAACTCTATACTCTTCTGGGTGGGTGTGGTCTCCACGTTAATGATGGACTTCTCTCTAAATGATTGTTCAATCACATCCTTAACAACACTATTTCACAATCATTGGAAAATCTGTATTACCATCACTTCAGATTTGTGATTTAAGACCTTTCAGGTTTGGACTTTGCAGGAGACATTTCCCCAAGCCTTGTTTCTGTGAAGCCAGTTGCTTTCATACAGAACAATTGCTACTTCTTGGTTTTCTGCTGTCTATTTAAAACGTTAGTGATAGCAATGTGTAATGTGAAAGTGGTCAGGTGCAAAATGGAGTCACTGATGTCAAACCCTATGGAAACAGAGCCAGCCAGAGGGAGGCCATGAAGGGTGGGTTTTCATGCATAAATTTCCCAATAATAGGAACTACAGCAAGGAATTCCACAAAAAAATCACAAACTTTCATAAAGACCACTGCATCCTAGAAAAAAGAATATTTCCAGCAACTAACTGTTCGACTTGGATTGATGCCACCCTTCTCATTGGTCCTTGAACACCCTTATGGAACAGAGTTTATGTAATCCTCCTCATTTTGCCTTTGAAGTTTCCCTTTACCACACTGCCTTGGAACACCTTCATGATTTCCATAGCGTGTGCAAGAATCCTGACTTATTCCCAAATAAATATCATAAATTCATTATTCTTCAATTTATCCTTCCTACCCTTCCCCTTCCCCTTTCCCTCCCTCTCTTCCCCTCCCTCGCGCTCCCTCTCCCCCATCCCCTCTCAATTGACTTTTCAGGGTTTCTTTTTTTATTTGCTAATCTTTTAAAATGTTTATCAAAGTGATACTATAATATGGACTTAGAGGCTGCTTTTGCCAAAAGCATTTTACTTGGGCCTATCTATGATGCAAAAAACTTGGCATCTGGGCTTCATTTTGTATCTCTCTCCTTTGCAATGAATCAGTGGCCTTGGATTCCAGCAACTGCAGTTCTACACTGAAAGCACCTTGGGATGTGTCAAAACTATCCCCCAAGCAATGGCAACTTTCTTATTGCCACCTACAATGCCCTGCCCAATCTACAATGATCCTGAGATAAAGATCAGATAATGATCAACTAGACCACAGTTTGACCAAGACTATTGGTCTATGCATACTTCTGATACCCCTTGCTATAAAATCTGGGTGCTCGTGTCAATTGCCTCAAAGACAGAGCTAGAAATGCTGGTTTCTAGTCTGCCCAGTATGGCCATACTGACGAAGGCTCCTTTCCTGCTTTTCACCATTATTTTTCCATTTGGTTTCTGGGGCAAGTGGGCAGACTTGATTTGGTGGAGCCCCTTAGTCCGCCCTCTGGCCCATTACTCAGGTAACAATACTTGCATACTAACTAAAAGAGGAAGGGAAAAAAAGCACCTAAAATTTTATAATGAATTGTAAAGAGCCTCTGCGCCTTCCCTTCTCATCCCAGGGGAAAGCCTCCTGAACTCTTCAATTGTTTCTTCCAATAATTAGCTCCATATTTCTAGAAATCTTCTTAAGCTACAAAGCACTATAACTGCAAGTAATGTGAAAGAAATCAGTCTATTTTTGCAGAAGAGGACTGAAATGGAAGGCAAGAACATGCCGTTGAGATAATCTATTTGAGTGAAGTATTTCAAAGTCAAAAAAAAAATTCCAGGTATGAATCCTATTTGTACTGCCCACTCTCCAACCTTGAGCTAGTAAATCCATGTGTCTGAACCTCAGTTTCATCATCTTTAAAGCAGAGGTGATATCTGTCTCACCTCTGCTAGAGAGGGAAATGAGAAAGCATATCTATACATCTGCTATATCACCAACTCAAAAAATGACTTGTTTTACCTTTCCCCTGGATTTAACTCATCTCCAGAACTCAAGGTGTGTTCAGCACAGGTCTTCTCCAAAATTTCAGCCCCTTGGCCTTTTTGTTTAAAGGAGGAAAGTGGCATGCTTTTAATGAAAGTACATTGAGTCAATCTGCAAGAAAAATTCCATCATTCATTGTTAGTGACTGACCAGCAATACCATAAACCTCCTGCTAAAGTGATTCAAATTTTAGAAGTCTGGAGAAAAACCCAGTGACTAGAATCTGTCACAAGGAATGCCACAGCAATAAGGTCCCAAGCCTAGTGCAATCTATTACCAGAAGCACACCAGCCTCCTGCTCACTACTGGTGGTGGTAGGCTGACTCATACAGAAACCCCCTCAAGATGTGTTTTAAGAACTGCCACCAAAGTCCATTTTTCAAAGCCTTTTCCCAACCAAAGACCCAGTCCTTTCATGCAAAGACTCACCCCTGCTGTATGCATTCACTGAGTTCTGAAGTATCCTGCTGAGGCTGCTTGGGCAGGAACTGGACCAGTGCTTGGGATCCCACAGATTCTTCTAATTCAGAGAAGAGGAGTGTTATTTAAGCCACAATTGCCTTCTCTGCGATTGACACCTACGATAGTGGAGTTGGAGCCAGTACCCTGAGTTATGCAAGGGTGGACGGGAGCTCAGGTCTAGAACGCTGCCTGTCTCCAGGTTCCTCCTCAATAAATTTTGGGATAAAGGAGGTACTGGAGAGTGCACAGCTTCCCAAAGGGGAGACTTTGGGATTGCTGGGGACAGAACCTGAGAGAGGATGAAGGGGTGCGAAGGGAGTCCCCAGATGTCTGGCTCACTTTGGTTAAATAAAAAATGATCATTTGGAAATATCTCCTTACTAACTTATTTAACACGACCAACAATGTCTACAAGGAAGGGTTTGACGGCACCGACCATGCCCAACGACCTGCTGGGATTCGGAGAGCAACCCAGGAAGGCTTCCAGGCCCCCGCCTCGTGGGGACGGTTGGCGATCCCGAGGCCGACCTGAGTGGGGCACCGCTGAACGTCCTGGCCCAGGCTGATCTTCACGAGGCCGGATACTGGCGAGTTTGCGAATGGCCTTGAGGCGCGGCAGGGGCAACCTAGCGAGGTGGCGCGAGAACTTACTATCCCTCGCAGCCGGGCTCAGGCCCATTCCGTGGCTGCGGCCCCGCCGGCCCCCAGGCCTGCAGGGGACAACGCTCCGGGCGAGTTCCAAATCGGCCAGCCGGGATCCGCGGAGCCGCGGGATGGTGGCACCGGGGCAGGCACGGCGAGGGACAATCGAGGGGGAAGGGCAGAGGAGCGTGGTGCCGGGAACGCAGCGCGCAGTAAACCGCGGCGGCGGAGGCGCGCGGGTACAACGACGCAGGCGGCGAGCGTGTCCGGAACGTGAAAGAGGCGTGAAAGCAGCGCTCCAGACCTGGCGGGGTCTGGGGGGGGGGGGGGGAAGGGGGGGGACGATCAGGGCGAGGGGCTTAGGTGAAAAGGCTCCTAGGTGGCACCTAATCGAATGTTATGGAGCAATGGGGAGACGCTTGGAGAGGAGTCTGAGAGGAGATTAGGGAGTTAGGGTTTTAATTTTTTTAAAAAATAAGATAAATATATAATGTAATATGTAATATATATAAAATCTCATGGAATGCATGTGGTTATTAAAATTGCTCGTGAGTACACCGTCCTGCTTAAGAATTTGAACACATCTGCTATGCATGCTGCATCTAAGCCTTCCTCCTTTACGCTACCTCCCTGTTCCTTGAATCCTGAGTTTTGTGTCTATGGCGTCCTTATTTGGATTTGGTTTTGGTTCACTGGCTTGGTTGGTTTTTTGAGACAGAATCTCGCTATGATGACCAGGCTGGCCTCGAACTCATAGGCTCCAACCATCCTCCTGCCTCAGCCTCTGGAGGAGTATCTGGGACTAGGGGACTACCAGTGCATTAGTCCTGATGCTCCTGGGTTTGCCCTTTCTCTTTTAAGTTTCTAAATCCCTTCTTTGCATCCCTAATGCACTGTTTTGTTTCTCATATTTGAAACTATAAAAACCAGGGTATGGTGTGGTATTTGTGACCTTCCAAAATTCATAGCCTGAAATCGCAGCCCCTAAGGAGATGGTCTTAGTAGGTGAGGATTTGGGGAAGAAATTAGGTCTTGAAAGCAGACCCCTCATGAAGAGGATGTGAAGAGGATTAGTATACTTACAAAGGAGGCCCCTAGAGAGCATCCACTTCCATCATGTGAGAAAGCAGAAGTGGCTATCTGTGAATCAGGAGTTGGATCCACATCAGACACTGAATAAGCTGTAGAGGTCTCAGGCTTCTCAGCCTCCTGTGAGAAAGAAATCTCTTGTTCATAATATTTTTTAATATCACACCAAAACGGACAAAGAGAATGGTATCATGCTATGTGTTCTCTTCTGCAACTTTCTTCTTTCTATGATATATGTGTATTGTAGTATACAACTGTAATTCTTTAATTCATTTTCTTTTCCTTCTTTCTTTCTTTTCTTTTCTTTTTTTTTTTTTAAACTAAGGACTGAACCCAGGGTGCTGTACCACTCAGCAACATCTCCAATCCTTTTTGGAGACAGGGTCTCACTAAGTTGCTCAAATTTATGATCCTCCTGCTTCAGCCTCCCCAGTCACTTGGATTAAAGGCATGCACCACTATGCCTGGCTCTGTAAATCATTTTCACTGTTATAAAAATAGTCCCTTATGTGTTTATACTGTTTTTTTTATCAATCCAGTGACAAAGCCACTGAGTTGACTAGTTAGCTAGTTGTTTGACTTTCCAATTTGGAGTTGGAAAAAATTGAAAAGATCTCTAATTGTGCAGTGGTGTATGCAAGTAAGAGATTCCAAGGGACTTAATATGTAGGAGGGTATGCAAATAATCAGCCTCATCAATTTCACTTCCACCAACATATTAGAATTCTTTTTTAATTACATCTTCATCAATACTTAGTTCTACAACAAGTCTTAATTTTTCCACGTGAGTCTACTTAAAATATTATTTTACTAAAGTTTTAATGTGCATTTTTCTGGTCACTAAAACAGTTAAGACATATATACACACAAATATATATACATATCAGCCACTTAGATTTCTTCATTTTATTAAAAAAAAGGTTAATTAATGAAAACACTATAGGAAACATTAATAGGAAATGGTTGAATAAATTCTAGTAGATCCAGGCAAAGGGCTTCAATGCAGTCACTTTAAAAATGTGCTTTTGAAGCACATTTGTCTATCTGGGATGTTTCTTTTGATATTGTATTAAGAGAAAACCTACAGTACAGTATTAGAAAATACTTGGAAAACATCTTCTTATTGATTTTCAGGAGTTCTTTGTATATTCTTGATATTCATCTTTAGTCAATTATAATTGTTTAGATATACAGTCAGCCCTCCATCTCTGCAGGTTCTGCATACGCGAATTCAGTCAAGCAAAGATTGAAAAAAATTTTAATTATGTGCTGAGGGTACAGCTCAGTGGTAGAGCATTTGCTTACCATGCACAAGGTCCAGGTTGGATCCCCCACATTGCAAAAATCAAAAAATTGTGTCTATATTGAACATTTACAGACTTTATTTCCTGCCATTATTTTCCAAACAATACAACAAGCATCTCCATTTCATCTGCACCTTGATCTTGGACTTCTAGCCCCCAACATTTAGAAAATGGAATTCTGTTGCTTAATCCACCCAAACAGTGTTATTTTGTTATGGGAGTTCTACACATGAATGCCTCTTTATTTCTCAGCAAACAGAAGTGAATCTGGGTGGAGGAAAGGGTGCCATTGACCACAGGTCACAAGATCTGTGTTGCTGGGGCTAGGACCAGGATCCAGGTCTGATTTTCATGCAGGGTTCCATGTCCTTGCTCAACAACTGTCTCTGCACCTTTGGTTTTTTTCCTCCCAGTGTATGTAGATACTCTTCCTGAACACACCCATGATCAATTTCCCCACAGAAGCACCTTCTGCTACCCAGCTCCACCTACAGCAGGATCTGAATAAACTCCTGGGCTCAGTACCCAAAGCCCTGTCAGGTGTACCCTAAGCCAGAGCATCGCAGACATTAGTGTGCTCCAGAATCGCCTGGAGGGCATGCTAACATGTACATTCCTGGGCCTTGCCTCTAGAGAGCCCTCTTCAAGGGGGCTGGGGGAGACCCCCAAACTTTGCATTTCCAACAACTTTCTGAGTGCTGTGAAGGCTGCCAAGGAGCACAGGCTCCAGGACCTTGTGAACTCTCACTTCCAGCCCAGGAACTGCTGACTCTTGCCCCATGCACTTGACCCTTTGCCCAGCTGGTCCTGCCAGAAGTTCTCCACTGCCAAGTCAGACACTGTGGTCAGATCCAGGGACCTCCCAACTCAGGCCAGAGTTGTGTTTGTTTGTGTGCGGAATGATGGGTTTCATTGTGGCATATTCACATACGTAAAAACAGTTTGATGAGTTTCACTCCCTAGTGCCCTTCCACCCTCCTGGTCTCCCTCCCCTGCTCTACTCCTTTATTCTATTGGTCATCCTTCTATTTTCTTTTTCTTTTTTTTTCTTTCCATTATCATTTATTCTCTCATAGGAAGATTTTTTAAAAAAAAAAAAAAACTCCAAAAAGCAAAATAACCACACATTGGTCTAGGCCACATTATAAATCCAAGCACTGGTGTGGAATTTCAGTGGAGAGAAGAAAACTTGTAAAAACCCCCAAAGTCATAAGAAAGTCTTCCAATTTAACTGTCTCTGTTTACCCATCCTTATTCACCACCCAAGACCATCAATTCTAGACTAGTCTGATCTGTAAGAGGGGTCAAAGCAGGCATGGATGGAGGGAAAGAATGAGAATCAAAAGACATCAAGGAGCTGATTTGTTTGAGAAAAGCAGTGATTCCTCAGGTCACAGCTTCCAGTGGCTGAGATGCAAAATGCCTAAGAGAGCAGATCCGTGAATTAAATGGATTGCTTTTGGGGAGGTGAAAGTTGTGTGAAGAACATGAGATGACAAGAGTCTGAATTTTTTTTTTTTTAAAGCTTCAAGGTTTCAACAGAATGTGGATGTATTTGAGCTTTTAAAAAGGATAGCGGGCCTGTTTTCGACTGACCACAGCTCATTCAGCCATAGAACAGGTAATTCCAGGCTGCCATTCGCCTGCGGCTTGCAGACAGATTGCTAGGGTTCAGAGCCTGGGGGCTTCTTAGAACCTGATCTTATCGGAGCGAACACCGAGCGCGGGGCGGCCGAGTTCCGGCTCCCGGAACCGCCCTGGCCCAGGGCTGGGGAGCCTGCGGAGGCTGCTTCTTGGACCCTGCTCCTATCAGAGCATACACCAAGCACTAAGCGGCCGAATTCCGGCTCCCTGAACTGAGCCCGCGGGGACTGCTTCTTGGAGCCTACTCTTATCGGAGCTTACACCGAGCTCGGAGCGGCCGAGTTCCGGCTCCCGGAACTGCCCTGGCCCAGGGCTAGGAGCCCGCGGAAACTGCTTCTCGGTCCAGGTCCTGCTGAGGGCCGGTCAGGACTCACCCGTTGCTTGGGTTGCCCGGCAAGGGGAACGAAATGCTGCCATTCGCATAGGATACCAACATGGCAGAGATGTGATGTCATCAGAAAGCGGCGGAGGAGAGAACTTCATCAATACCAGCGGCAACAGAAACAGTTGGTCTCCTGGTAGGGGGGGGTGAGACACAGACACCCGAGTCTCCTCGATTTGTAATCGAGCCAGAGGGGAGGAGCCGGGCCGCCGCCAGCGCCCGGAGCAGGCCCGCGGCTCGCCAGCGTGGTGACCGTGTGACCCCAATTGGAGAGGGGGCGGAGCGGAGCCGCCACCCGCGCCCACAAGGTGGGCAGACCCGCGACCCAGTGGTACATGGGCATGGTAGGAGGGGCAGGGCAGAGCCGCCGCCCGCGCTTGCAAGGTAAACAGACCTGTGACAGACTGGCGGGTCAGGCCCAGTGGCCTGCCAACGTGGTACACACGTCACCCCAACTGGAGTAGGGGCAGAGCAGATCCTTCTCCCACGCCTGGATCAAGCCCTGCTGGTGTGGTGGCCACGTGACCCCAATTGGAGTGGGGGTGGAACCGCCACCCGTGCCCGCAGGGTGAGCAGACCTGTGACCAACCTGCAGATCAGGCCCAGGGGTCCGCAGTT